TGATCTTTGACATAAGAGGTATTTGAAAGAAATTGATGAACATGGCAAAATTCTGCTTTGAATGTAGAAACAAATTTAATAAATTAAATGAAATGCATAAGATTTTTAGTTTAAAACTCAATACTGTACTTTGTATTGTGATTGTGGGAATTTTCTGCTGTACTGATCCAAATAGAACCTCAAGTTTGTGCACAAGTTTAAGCAAATAAATGATATTTATGTGAAACCTTCAACAGAATGCCAGTATTTTATTATTTAATTCATTCACTATTTAGTTATTATTAAATGATGCATTCTATATTTATTAATACTTATTATATATTTCAATTGTCAGAAATCAATAGAAACAAAGAACAAACACATTATGTCTTCTACAGTTCTAGGCGACTTCTGTCATAGTCCTGGGCGACTTCTATCACAGTTCTGGGCGACTTCTGTCACAGCTCTGGGCGACTTCTATCAATTTCTGGGCGACTTCTGTCCTGGGCGACTTCTGCCCTGGGCGACTTCTGTTGTTCCCACAAAATATTAGGGGCTATGTGGTAATAATGTCAGATTTGGATAATTTAAATTTAAATTTTGAAAAAGATTAATCAAAACAAAGGATAAAATCTTCAGACATCTGCTGTTCATCAATTTTTAGGAAGAGTTTATGAAATTTTTTAGACAAGTAGGTAATTTTAAAAATAACTGGCTGGCTTTCAAAGATAGAAGTGAATGGAAATAATTAATGAAACTACATTTTCCAAAGAAGTTATTTTTTTAAAACTTTAAAAAAATATTGTTTTTCTTTGAGTGATTTTTTAAAATTATCCAATTATTTTGTTTCCTTCTCTGTCAAACAGAATGAGAAAATAACATTTGCAAATTATATTGTCATTAGTATTATCTAAAATTTAATTCATTAAAATATATACAGTCACAGACAAAAATTTTTGTGTGATACCTTGTTTTAATAATATGTACTAAATTTATCATTTTAACCAATCAAAATAGCTTTGTTTTATATATGAAAAGATAAGAACTTCATTACAGTTTCATTATGAAGAAAAGAAATATTTTTTGATAAAAGAGAGAAGGATTCTGTATATGATAGATTCCAGTTCACAAATAAGCAGGAATTATTGGAGAGCATTGAAAAAACTGTCAAAATATTTAACAGAAAGAGAAGGGAGGAGATGAAAAAGGTGCATGAATCTCTAGCTGACTGTATAAATAATCGACATATAGATATATTCAGCAAGAAACTACAATATCAATAATTTCTTTCATGAAGAAATTCTGCTCATCTATAAAGTGATCTTCATAAAAATTGGAACACTTCGATTTTTGAATAGACCAACATATTAAAAATCTTTTTCACTAAGAAAAAAAGATTTTTTTTCACAATTCATCCTCAGATTCAAATTGTGGACCATCATATATCAGGTTTTTGGTGAGGTGCCATATATTTCAATTGGGCTGAGATCTGAGTTCTTTGCTGGCCAATCAAGAGGGTGGATACCATTCATCTGAAAGGCTGTTTTAGTTATTCTGGTAGTATGACACCCAGTGTTATGTTGCCGGAAGATGTACTTCCTCCCCATTTTTTCCTCAATCTCTTCAATAACAGGGAGAACATCTTCCACAATAAAATGGCTATAATTTTCACCATTAAGTTTTTTTGTTATCCTTCACAGCTCAAAGATTTCATCTGATGCTATTAGCCCCTAGACCATTACTCCACCTCTGCCCATATTTTGTCACCCTGAAGTCTTTTTGGTAACTTTGGTCCAAGTACAAAAATCATCAGGCCCACTCAGTCAGAATCTAGCCATCAGTGAATATTACCTTAGACTAGTCTAGATTATCACTGATCATCTCAAGGCACAAATTTTTCTTCTCTTGCAATTGTTGCTTGTGAGATCAGGTCTTTGTCCAACTCGCTTATACATAACATTTTGTTTTTTCAGCTCCTCTGAATGGTTAACAGGCTAACATCTACATCTAGTTCTTTCAAAATTTTTCTTGCTGTCACCCTCTCTTTATTTGTTTTCATTTTCTATATAGCTCTTTTCATCCTGCCTATATCTCTCTGTCAGCTTCTCTGGATGACCCCTATTCTCCTCTTCTGGCGGTTAATACCTTAGAATATTGCTAACATATTAGCATCTTTTTTGGGTGCCATTCCTAAAGCTCTTGCAGTGGCCCCATAGTTTTCCTATTTCATTGTATTTCTTGAATACAAGATCCCTAATGTCTTCACTCCAGGTCATATTTAAATAAATACAATAAAAATAAACTAGTATAATTAAAATTAACAGTTTCCTAATTTTTATGAAGTTTACTATATTCACTTTTTTAATAAATTGTTACCTTTTTCCAGTATGAGTGTTGTCTTCTCAATGGGACCAACAGCAGTCATCTTGAATAGAAGATAACCAGAAAAGAGCAGAAGTCAACAACTACCTAGAGCAGAAATTACCCAGAACTGTGATTGTAGTTGCTTAGGATAGAGACAGAGCTCACCTCTGTAGGTTCTCTATTATTTTGTAATAACAGAATAACAGAAGTTGAACCAGTTGTTTATTGCTAAGGTTACAACCATACAATTTCAAAGCACATTTTTTAAATAGATAGTTTAACCAATTACAACAATTTTTGATTAGTTTACAAAATGTGAAGTTTATTCTGAGAAGGCATAGACAAAATAATTTTAAACCTTTGCAGATCGTCCTAAATTCTCCTCCAAATAAATTAATATGGTTAGAATTAACATTTTCTAGTAGAGTATTGTAATTTACTTGGCTTCAGAAGTCACCAAGCCAACAACTCTGCTGTTCACCTAGATGACATTGAGAAATATTTATATAGACAAGGGAATTTGAAGAGGATTTTAATCTATCATATATTTTCTCACATCCTCTCCCACACAAGTTGTTCTCAATCAAATTAATTTCTTGTAATGATGAACAATTATGTAATAAATCGCCCAACTAGGAGTTTGAAGATGACTTCCTAGAGCAGCCAATATCTAATGCACAAAGTTGTGACCCTGGAGATCAATCTGTTATTCTAATTTAACCAAGATGAAAGGACTCATCAAACCAAAATTCTTTTAAGCTTTGCTGATTGTTGAAGTCCTTCACAAATACTGAAAAATCCACTTCCCATCTTGTCATTTGAGCATATTATACCTAGACAAAATAGGACATTTTAAAGATTTCAATGATTGCTGAAGTACTTTACAAATAGCAAATGAAGACGAAGGTTTAAGGTATTTAATACCTGAATTTTTCTATAAACTGCTCGAGTCCAATGGAATAAACATCCTCACAGATAAAAACTTTCCCAATTATTTAATACAGCTTTTCAAGCAGCTTTTTTGGCTTTGGCTCCTTAACAATTTTGGAAAGTTCCATCTAAATACCATACTTTTGATACTGTAAGTAAACTAACTTGTTTTCAAGTAGCAAAAATAATCACTCTTTTATTATTTTCAGGAACATTTTTTTTTCAAGAAAGCAATTATTTAATTAGAAATTTTTTCCAATTTATCATTTAGTTGCTATTTTCAACTATTACATTATTTCCAATATTTGAGAAGGGAAACTGAACATTCTCAGCAATTCATTCTAATATTTATGTCTCTCTTTCCTGTTTGTTTTGCGGTCACTTTCATTTTAAAAGTTTGTTTTAAAGTTTTTTTGGAGGGTGAATGTGATATTTAGACCCTAAAGATAAATTATTACTTCTTTGAATGACTTTAGCAGGATATTTCATTTTCTTACTTTTAACTACATATTTCCAATTATAGAATTCTCGCCTTTTCTTTTGAAATAGACATTCTGAATTTACCATTGCTGTCAAAATTCTCCTCAACTACAATTTCAAATGAATCTTCCATATTAATGTTATTTTTACTAAAATTTTTATGTATTTTATGTTTAAATTAAGTAACAATTTCCTCTTCACAATCAACATTTACTATTATACTTTTCACTGACAAATAATGTTTAAATTAAGGCCACATGGACAATAAGTGTTATTACACAACAAGTCTGTATCATCAGCATCTGCTATTAAATAATATCTAACAATTTTGACATGCATATTTTAAATGTTCTTTGTTCCTTTCCCAATTCCATAGTGGCTCCATCTATCTATTATGGACAAAGAATCTATTTCCTAGAAAATATGATTCTTTCTATAGTTTCTATCATTCTAATTTCTAGAAAATGAAAGTCTGCCCTTATATTTAGAGTCTAAATATCACAATTTCACTATCTATAATGGTCATTTAATTTGCTAGTAAATGTCCAACAAAGTGTCTATCCTCCATGTATAATGCAGGTAACTCAAGCTAATTTATTATGAACATATATTATGGTAGACAATTGAAGTTGTAGATATTTCATAGTCTTTCCAGTATCTGACAAGTTTCAGACTATTTATTAAAAAATTGCTCTTTTGTCAGATGTAAGCTAGTCCCAAAAATGTAGAGTTACATACTCTTTCTTTAAGTTAGTTTTCTTTCACAATTTGAGATTTTTAAAACCTACATAAATAGATAAGGTTCTAGGAAAAATTGTTGACAAGGCTTTTAAATGTCACCCCAACCTACTCTTGAATTTTTTATCATAATTGGCAATTGTTTGAAATATAAATATTACAAGTTTGCAATTTACAATTAAAGAAGAATGATTTGTTAATATATATTTTCTGTTTTGTGAATTGTCTTTGAAGAGGAGAAGATTGATTTTCTTAATATATAAAGTAACATAATTAAAACATCACCATTATTAATATTTCAGTCCAAATATCATATAGAAATTTCATGTACATTGAATGTAATATGAATGTTACTATGAAAACTGTAAGATAAGTAATTGTAAATTTTTTACATAGTATGGAGTAGTCAGTTGCAGTTGAAACATGCTGTTTAATATTTGTGTTTTGCTACTCTATTTTTCAGTAATACAAAGTGAAAAATGTAACAATGCAACACTTGGTTTCCCGCTCATGCAATTTAATGTTTTACAATTTGATCTTCTTACTTTGATAACTGATTTTAATATTTCTTGTAATGGTTATCTGACATCTATAACATATCTGACAACTGGTGAAGATTATCCATTTCATTTGGGAGTTTGGGAAAAAATCTCTGGTAATAAATATATTAAAAAAGATTTTAGAACAATTACAAAAACTACATCAGTGGAACAAAGAACTGTGCAATTTGAAATTCCAATGGAAATTTCAACAACTGACTATTTGGCATTTGATTTTCTACAAAATACAAAACATGGTATTGTATCCTATGTAGGAAATTCCTCTGGAAATGTACAATTTTACAAGGTGAATACCCGTTCTATCTACATCAATTTACAGAACAATTATTTTACATATACCATTCAGATTATAACATTTCCTCAACAATCTTTGAATCTACCAGTTTTTATGCCTGTCACCTTTAATCCACAAATCTATAACAAATATTATGCCTTTAACCTACAATTTATCCCAAAGAATGTCTACAGTAATATATAAAACATTCTCTTAATAATGTCCTCTTTCTAAATAGTTAATGCCTTCTTTTGTAGAGAAAAATCCAGTTTGTTCAAACCAACAAAATGTTTACGGACGGGATCTAATCAGTAGAAATGATGGTGGCGGAGACTTTTCAGTTCTTTTAACTGAACATAAATTTCTCTGTCGTGGAATTTTAAGAAAAATTGAATTTTACAGAAAGCAAACAGATAAAAGTTATATTGGAATTTGGCGAAGAATGTCAGATTTGGCAGGAATTAAATATAAATTAATTACTCTAATCACATTACCAGATGGTCCAATCAACTCTGTTCAAACATTGGAATTAAATGATACAGTGTCTGTAGAGGAAAATGACATTCCATTTGTGCTGAATCATTTAAGCAAAAGTAATGCCATAGCAAATGCCAGAAATTCATATGGAGATGCTGCAGTAAGTGTAAAAAGTAACTTTTCTCCAAAAACTAATATACAGCAACCAAACTACTAACAAATCTCCCTCTTTTTTAGGCCATATCTATGAATATTCAAAAGGAAAATATTCAAATTGGACAAATTATTGATTTACAACTATGTCAACATGCTTGTGAAAAAGGTTTCAGAACTTACTCCATTAAGTTTTATGTTGATTCAAGTAATATATATTATATTTTCTCAACTATTATAAAATATTCATCCATCATTCTGTAAAATGACAAATCAAATGATAGATGACAAAACCATTAAAAACAGCTGCATTCAGAAAACAAAACAGTCAGTACATAGGTAAACAAATTCAAACAATTCAAATGTTAAAATTCTAAATTGTTGAACAAGTTTAGAGTATAATTTTCAATCGTGTGAATAAGTTCAATATATTTCATTGATAAAATTTCAGCCATTTTGAATATTTGGAAAGGAAATTTTTTTTGTTTGATAACTGAGAATTTTATTTTAAAGCTTATAGGAAAAAAAAACATATCATATAGATATCATAAAGATGTGGTAACAACCCAGGCTGCTCTTTTATAAGCTCATAAGAGCATTTTTTGATTTTTTTCCACAATTTGTCATCTGATTTGAATTGTGGACCATGGAAAGGTGTCACATGTTCTTGATTGGGCTGAGGTTGGGGCTCTTTGCTGGCCAATCAAGAGGATTGATATCATTCATTTGAAAGGCTCTTTTAGTTGTCCTCCCTGTGTGGCACCCAGCATTATCTTGCTGGAAGATGGATTTCCTCCCCATTTTTGCCTCAATCTCTTCAATAACAGGGAGGACATCTGCCACAATAAAACAGCTGTAATTTTCAGCATTAAGCCTTTTCCTTATCCACCAAATTTTGAAATAAAGAAAAAATTGATGAAAATGACCAACAATATTTTGCTTATAATATTCATAAATATTATCATTTTGTCAATTTTTTTTCAATATTACATAAATATAACCCGTTTTTTTATAGAAATTTAGACCAAAAAAATAATTTACAGCGAAAAAACAATTTCAACCATTAATTAAAAACTGGCCTATTAAAATTTACAGTGTCCATTTTTTTATGAAGGTTACTTTATATAGCTCACTTGCAACTGTTTGAAATACTCTTTGTTCAGATACTGTCTCATCTTTCAATTTAATGTTGCTTTCTAAATAAATTTGATACTTTCTCTAAGAAATATTAGTGGAATAGGGAATATTGCATAAAAATCATCAATGGTGTTTATTACTAATTAGATTGTGATGTATAAAGTTCTGTTTTTCTGGGTAAACTAGATGAAAAAAGCTTTGATATGGAAAAATATGGTGTGATTGTTTGGCTTTTTCTAATCATTTTTATTGAATGCAGATGTGAAAAAGTGGATTTAACAAATGGAAATGTTACATTTAAAATTGATATCTATGAGGAAAGTGATGTACATTATATGTCAAAGGTTTAGTTTTTATCACAATTTTATCCAGAAATGAAACATTACCAATTCAATATGGAAATATAATGCACCATTCGAGAAAGATATTAATTTGTTATGGCAGTGGATATAGTAGTTTTTATGCTATTCCATATCCTTGCCAACTAAAGAGATACAATTCTCCTTATGCTACTGTTGAAATTGATATACAATTGAAAATGTTGGAAAACAGTGGACTGACTGTCTTATCTTTCACTCTGTGCCCATTTTTTCTCACTAATCCGCCTAAATAATTGGCATAAGTTAATTTTAAGAAAAAAGGGTCACAGTATGGAAATATATGACTAAAAATCTATTAGATTTAAAAAGTCATCGTCGTAAAAATGTGGACACCATAAATTTTGACGTGTTCCAATTTTTACGACGATAACTTTATATACTATATAATAATTTATTCCCTCCCTATAGTTACCTGATTGAGAGTTCTACAGTAGAAGGTTTATGTATGAAATGTTTCAAAAAGTATACACAATGTAAAGTTGCTATTTTCATTTACAAATCTAGGGTTAAAAACAAGTTTATTATCCAATTAGATCTATATGGCAGATTTATAGAATCAGCCTATATGCCACAAATATATATCTACTTGAGAAAATACGAGAAAGATTACAGTATTTGCGGAGCAAATTTTTATGCTACTGCATTGTGTAAACGTTTAGCATTTATTAATAGAGCTGATATATTAAAGCCTGCCCGTCTATATATATGGTTGTCTTAGTCCATCTTTGGAAAATTGCAGAGGAACATATATGTTAATGAATATATTTTATTAGTAGTCAAATTGTTTTTTTTTTTAATTATAAATCCCATTTTCTTGCATATTTTGAAGACTTAAAGAAGAAATTAAACACATAACACCATTGATATCTTGTACAAAAGATGCTAATATCAGTTAAGTAAAAAAAACAATTGGGAAAAAATTTGCAATATTTATTCAATTCATCATCATCATCATCATCATTGTCATCAATGATATTCGCAGAGCCGTGCTACGATTTGGAGTTTAAGTATTATGATATTACAAGCGTAAATCATATTTGCTATTACAAGGAAAGTAGAATACATTCGCCAAAGAATGTTTGTAAACAATTGGATTTATGGAAGAGGAAACAGTTTGAGAAAAGCAGCCAATTTTTGCAGCAGTAAGAATAAGACAATTGCAACTTTCCCTACAAAATACAAATTGGAAGTTTTATATTTTATATATAAGCAACTTAAAGTTTGGAATAACAAATGTAAATATGTTATCCCTTTTTTTTTGGCTTTTTTGCCAATGTTTTAGCTATCTTCTCAAGAGATATTAGTTTTTATTGAAAGATTGTGAAAAGCTGCAGAAAATGAATATATATTGAATTTAAGCCATTAACTTTTTTTTTATTCCATTTGAAATCATAAAGAAAAGCTTTCAAGATAATATTCTTAGTCTTACACTAGACAATTTTCCATTTTCCTATGCTATTCATCCAAAAAAGGTAAGCTCCTTGTTGGAAGAAAAACACTCTAATCCTTATGGAAAATACCCCTTGTTTAACCTTGTAGTTCCGCTCCAAAAATGATTACGAAAGCTCTACTGAACTAATTACAAATAACATTATTGACAATCTATGCATGGAAGTTTACATTTATGTCAGGGAAAAATTTAAATTCAACCAAGTATCTCTGTCTTGCAATGCACTTGAGTTCTCTTCATTCATTTGCCAAAAATCGTTGGGTAAACATTACAAGCATAGAACTCTTGTATAAATTTTTCATATGACCTTTTTTCTTGGTTTAAGCTTTAAAAAGAATGAATTATTATGGAATTGATTTTCAAAGTCTCCAAACATTTTTATGCCCAAAAAACACTTTCAAATGTTACAAATCAGATATTTGTATAAATTTTGTATATTTTTGTAATGGTGAAAGAGATTGTCCATTTGGAGAGGCTGAAGATTGTGGAAAAATCTCTTTTTTCAAATATCAATGTCTAAGTTTAAATCAATCAATAAGTTATTCCCAAATATGTGATCATGTGTTTGATTGTAAAGATAAGTCTGATGAAATATATTGTAGTTTGTTTTTTTAGTTATTTGTATAGTTAAGTTAGAAAAGTAGCCATACAATATTGAAATTTTCCTTTAGAACAGAAGAATTGCGAAGAGGATGAAAGGTTTGCTGTTTGAGTACATATAAAACTGTGTATCTACTGAAATGATCCACTATCACAAGTATGAATCTGTATGACTTAACCATGGGTAAGGGTCCAATTATATCCATGGCCACCAACTCCATTGGTGATGCAGGGTGAAAAGTTTCCACCAAAGGGTATACTCTACTCCTACCATTCATTTGTTCACACAAAGTGCAATCCTTTATTGAATTCTCAATCATAATCTTTAATTTTGGGTGCCAAAAGGTCTTTGTAATTATTTGTAACATCATTCTGGGTCCATGGTGATTGTGAATTTTATTTTTATGGAATTTAGGGAGCAGAGTTAGCATCAAATGGTCAGGTAAAACCAGAATGTTTCTTTTTTCAAGAATAATCCAGATCATTTCCTTGTGAACAAACATCTCCATTATGAAAGGTGTAAAAGTTCCAAAATAAGGAATATGTATCTGACCATCCAGTGTTAAATATTCTTTAATTGATTTCAAATTCACATCTTTTTCTTGCTCTGACTGTAAGTCAACAGAAGACAAATCAATTTTCTCTTCACTGTTATCACTGGTAGCTACAAAAGATAGATCTGGTGTATGTTCATACTGTTCCATTTTAACTGAAATAGAGGGAGAATTTCCCCCTTGATTCTTCCATAAATTAGCTCTTCAAATGTTACTTTCCTTGGGGGTGTATATTCTTCTAATCTTGTTAACACATCTGCTCTATTTTTTTGTCCTGTCACATAGTAAATTGCAAATTTTAAATTCGAGTACATGCTTTCTATTCCAAAATTTTGGGGTTTCTGTAGAAGCATCTTTTCTGATTACCTGGGTCTTTTTGGTCTCTTTTCTTTATTGAGTTTCCAATTTTGACACCATTGTGATCAGTTTTCTTTGAGTTAGTTTTAATGAAGTTTCTGCTTGCTTAGCAGCCTCATATAGTTCTGCCAATGTTTGACATTTAGGATGTAAGGTGTACACTAAATGTAGAATATCCTGTTGTAATCCTCTTTGTAAAACTTCCATCAGTTTTATTTCTTTCATAATTGCAAGCAATTGTGGTTCCATTGGTCTAGGTGGAGAAAACCTCTTTATCAATTTCTTTGCTCTATTAACAAACTGAACCACACTTTCGCCATTCATTTGCTTTAAGTTAAGCAATTTGTCTTGATACTCCAAAGGATCCAGATCAAATTCATCATGGAGGGCTTTCCATATTTTCTCTACAGTAGGCTCTCCATCCAGAGCCAACACCAAATTGTTTGCAGGACCAGTTAAATAATCTAAAAGATTTGCTTTCACAACATCTTCACCAATCCAACCATAAGCATAACATGCCTGATTAAAGTCTTCCTTGAATTTTGAACACTCCTTGCTTCCATCATACAACTTGAGAATAGTTCTTTGAGGGCGGTCCCAAGCAGCCCTTAATGCTTGAATTACTGTTGTGATATCAACATTTGGGTTCTGTGGTGGGTGATGTGTTCCATCTCCATGATCTGTGGGAATTGTGATTTGATTTCTTTTCATTTCAGTCACCAATCTATCATAGTCTTCAATTAGTCTTTGTTGCCTTTCTGACATTCCTGCTGGCTGAATTGTAATTGTTGGAGTTGCTGGGGTTGAAGGGTTAGAGTCTGTAACTGCCCCAGTCACATTTCCATTTCCTCCTTCTGCCATATTTACTTTCTCAAAACTTTTGAATAAACCAAAATATTATCCTGTCGACTGCGCCAAATTTGTACTGCTCTTGCTGGCAAAATCTATGCGTTTGCAAGTTATAACAATACTGGTTCTACTCGAACCTTTAAACAAATGTTTAAATTAAAACAGTTTATTCGCAATAATAATACTTAAGCAAGTAACAATATGAGAGTTTGATAGCAGAGTAGATAGTTCATAGAAGCAGGTTGCCAAATTACCAAA